GTTTCTGGCAGCCGACTACGATTCCCTGCAGTGATGGCTACCGTATCCCCCTAATTTCGGCCCTGTTTTCTTCTCATTTCTCGCGTCTACGGCGCCGTCTATGCGGTCATCTCAATGCATGCATCGATATAGTGCAGCTGGATTTAGTTGGACAATAGTTAGGTGTAGAAAGCCGAAGAAAGACGGCGAACGAAATGCTTGTCGTCACGCGTAACCTACAATGAGGAACGTAACCAAATTAGCTACGGGTTCCATGGTAAATTATCATTTGGCAACGTTGTGGTCAGAACGTGTAATTTTTCGAGTTTATTATTTGGTTTATTATTACGTTCCTTCTAGAACAAAATCTTCTTCGAAAGCTGTGTTAATGCTTCCAAATTGAACTGCTGTTTGTGTGTTGCTATGAATAAATATCATAGATTTTAATCGTAGATTTTGCTTCATATTTGTGTGCTAAATTTCCTCGATTTTCCCCGAACGTTTAAAATGTTTAATTATTGTACGTTACAAATTGCAATATCTTCTTGGAAAACCCTTTGTTCGTACAACATGCACGGACTGCGTAGCTTTTATGGAATAATAGTTCTTCGTACCTATTAATAAATGAAGAAGTAAATGAAAAGATCAACAAGCAATCGCATAAAGATTTCGTTGAAATTCGATTTTGGTGTAATCGATCGTACGATCCTTGTAATCAAGTGTTAGCGTGAAATGAAAAATAAGACGGATGAGCGAAAACGTGAAATCTGCGCAGAAGACAAAATGCTTCCACATCCAGCGAAGTAGACGAAGGAAAATCGAAAAGCGCAGAGAATTTGTTAGACAGACTTGACCGAGTACAGGCCCTGTCACTGGGCGTGACCAAAAATGGTCGAGTTTTCGGACTTGTACCCAATATCCGTTTCAGGTAAAATTCGCGCCGCTTGTGATCTTTCATGCCGACACAGTTTAAGAGACGAAACAGTGATTTTCACGGATTTGCTTATTTCTTGTTATATTTTCTAACTGATTATACTCGGGATAATATATAATTAAAAAACAGAACGTATATTCGCGAATTTTATATATAATTAAAAGAGAAAATTAACACACCTAATGGAAGCAGAAAATATATATAGATTTGGAAATTATCCATATTGTTACTCATACAAGCATTTATCCAATATAAAAATGTATGTTTCCAGATATAATTAACTCTAAAAATATTGCTGTAAGCTTGCATAAAGGGATTACCTGTCGCGCATTTTAACATCGTATACAAAAAAAAGAAATTAATTTTTAAAAGCTTATTATACGCTTCATTCGCAAAGGTAAAATTCATCTCAGTCATGTGTATGATATTATTAATAAAAATTCGCGAAGATACGTTCTGTTTTGACGCTAAGAAAGCATAATCCCTCGAGAGATTCGCATCTCAGGTACGCGCAGGTAAAGATAGAACGCGATTTCGAGGAGCGTAAAAGGTGGGACGAAAGGGTGGTTTCAGGGTTGAACTCGCGTACAGCCAATAATTCTTCAACAGAAATTATATCCTCATTACTGCGACGCGCTGTTCGATAACGAGGCGTAGCCACGGGTCCGAGGATCGAGTCCCGAAGGAAGGACAATTCGTTCCGGGGCACGAGGGTGAGCGGAACACCGAAAATTTTGTGACACCTCGCTACCCTTATGGTGTCAAAGGCAGCACCCTCGACGGAATTACGATTCCAGCCACCTGACTCCGTGTCGAAAGATTCCGCCACCGCTTCTCGGCTCGACCGCAGAACTCGTTAACCCCTTTCTGTGATTAGAACGCTCATTGCCTTGAGGGAGAGGGGGGAGGGGAGATTTGTTACGTGAACTATTTGGTCCGTAATGCTTTTGAGAAGCCGCCAAAATTCGTCTCGAGAACTCCCACGGCGCCACGATTCGGGATACCCCATTGTACTCGCGGAGAGAGGAAGTTTCAGAATTATCATTGAGATCGAGAAGAAGTAATACGTTTCTCAGTGTTTGGTAAAATTGAAACTAGAATGACACGAGGTTAGTGACACGGCATAAATAATTACGAACGAAATATTAAATATCAAAGTTTAAGGGTATTAGCGAGCGATTAAGTAAAATGTATTCTCTAATGCAACGCAAAGTAATTCGTATTTCAGGTTAAGTAGGATAATTCTATCAGAGACGAAACAGTGAAAGTAATCAGGTGTTTTAATGATTTATTACGATTTAAAAATATCAGCCTAGTACATAATACATACATAATACGTTACATCCTAATATATAATATATTCAAAATATTATAAAGCTTTGAACAAGAAAATAGAGATGATTATATATTCAATAAATTAGAGATGGGCAATATCACGATAAAAACATTGTTTAAATAAAAAGTCGAATAAAGATACTTTATCTTTATCTTACTGTACAAGTTATTTTAATACGTCAATTAAATTTATAAAGATAAAGATAGGTATTTTTGTTCAACAAATAATAAATACACTCTTAACTTTTATTCGATATTTGAAATTTTTATTTAGATACAAATTTTGCCCATCTTTTCAATAAGCAGAGCTCCCACTTTCTGTTCAAAGAAGTCCGATGAGAACGCGTACATATAATTGCCCAATATATCAAGCCCAGAGATCTCTCGTTCGCGTTTAACGTTTATCCCGGTGTATCGACTGCGGTGCACGTCCGTTGGAGTAATTAACGATCGCTAATTATCGGGCATCTGGGATCGGAAGGAATCCTTATTTACGACAGAAAAGTGGATCTTCGTTTGATGAAAGAGAGAAACAAGAAAATCATGCGAAACCGCTAACGAGCTCTATTGTGCGGCACGTGCCGCTGTCCGCCCACGCTTCTTTCACGAAACGGACATTTTTCCCCCGATCTTGCCAATTTGGCGAAAGGAAAGGGGTTACCGATCACTGTCACCCCTTTCTGCCCACTTTTCGGCGTCGTCCACGGTTTGTTTTCGGCCCGAAGTGTTTGATGTTTAGAAGCATTCCCGTCCCTCTTTCTTGCTAGCTGTAGATTGTTTTCAAAATTTAACCAGCTGCACATTTCGGGGAAACGGGAAACGCTTGGCTCCGCCTGCGATCGATTTTGCAACTCACGTCGCGTCGAAAGAGGTCCCAGTTTGGCATTCTTCTTGGAACAGTAATTAAATTATAATTACTTCTTGAAGATTAAACTTATCAATTTTCGTAGAGAAGGTTTATTATTTTACTTAAGTTTCTATAATTATTTTATAATTTCGATTGCTGATTCAACATGTTGCCATATATATTAATTTATGATTTCGAATTATAAATAAAAACGAAATAATACCGAAGATAAATATTTCAAATATATCAAATATTCGATAGATAAATATTTAAAAATTCATGGGTTGTATAATAATTAAAAGTCACCGTTGATATAACGGAATAATTTATATAATCCAATGTAATGATTCTATTAACAAGTTCTACAGTAAAATATAATTGCATAATAAAATTCTCTGCATTGGTAACTTTTAGGTTGATATTAACAGATATTCAAAATTATTAAACAAACGCATTGCAGATAAAATGTCTTGAATTCAGTAATACATGCTACAAAATTAAAAACACAAACTATAAAACAAATAATAAACAAAACTCAGCTTAAGGGTTGGTAAACTAGAAAATAAAATTGCACGTTTCATCTGAACATGTAGACAATACTTTATTTACAATATTTTACAAAATTCCATCGACATAAATCATTCGAAATCTTCGCAGTTTTTCACTAACAAGACAATTGCATAACATCGACGCAAATTTTAAACATATTTCATTTCGAGTCACTAAAGGCTACCTAACACTTTCGAATCGTAATAACAGTTTTGTAAAACCGTTCTTTGGCATCATGGCGTATCCTACCTACGGACGGCACATAAGAATGCTGTTTCGAGCCTCGTGGGCGTTCTTAAAAGTATTCGTGACTAGCTACGATACGAATAATATTAAAAATAAATCGAAGTTATCCACAGCGTCTGAATAACTTTTAGCAAGACACGTTAAACGTTAAAGTTCATACTGATTACAAAAATAACGCATCCCCAAAAATCAAATGGCACTAAAAGCTTCACACTGCTTCTATCACTCGTTGCGCGCCATATAATTTATTTCCATAAAAAAAAAAAGTCTAATTGAATGTACATTAAATAAATCTTCCTATGAGCTATAGAAATTAACAGTAACACGCATTACCGCGATAGGAATAAATAAAGTATAATAATTCGCGCTTATTTAACAATAATCTGACGCATTCGCTTGCGTCGAATATTATTAAATATTTCATTAATCTTTGGATGATTAGCCGTGTTTCCTTAATTACAGATTTAAATAATAGAAATTATGAATATAAAAAGTTAAATAATAAACGAAACTGCTCGCTTAGCAGACGTAAGACTATAAATTGTAGTGCGTGAGTGTCTATTTCGTGCGTCTAAATTATATTACACTTATCACAAATTTCTTAAAATAACACTTGTATAAATAGTATAATAGCAGTAAGAGTACCGTAAATGAAAAACAGATTTTGCGTGATGCATACGGGAATTGCATTTTAATTTAACGTCTCTATAAAATGGAGAACTTCATATAGTTCACCAATTGCTATATTTTTACAAATATGTGACAAAATTCTTCCAATAAATTAATTTTCGAAATCTTAACTTTCAATAACTTATAATTTACGAAAATTAAGTCGTGCGAGAGTTAAATTTATGAAACGTTTTATAAAACTTGTCAAGACTATAATCATATGAAATATATTTTTACAATCAAGCTATCAATCCAATAATATATAATTATAATATCAATTATAGCTAAATATCGCCTAATCATGTCTAGGTTTCTGTGACTCTGTATGTTATTACTGTGTTACTAGCAATATTTTATTGACGAGTGTAAAACAGTACGTATATTGTATATTATTATTTAATATACGCTGTGTTTTTGGAATACGGAGTGTTCTGGAAATTTTATTCCTAATAATATATAAAGACTAAATTTCTTAAAAAATAAGACATTTTTCAGTTGAAATGCTCAGTGGCTAGTGACCGCTGACATATTCGCATACTTTTCATCTTTAGTTTCTAGTTTGCTATCGCAATAATTAAAAAATGCACGAATACACTCAGAAATTTCAGTCGCTAGTCACCGAGTATATAAAAGACTTAATACCATATCTTTTATCTGTAAATGTAGTTATCGCAAAGATTCTATAACATATTGCAGTTTTATCTTAGAAAAATTATTTCTTCGTTATAACATTTTGGTCAAGATTGTTATCTTTCTTCGGGATCAAGAAAAATCAGGAATTAATAATTACTTTTTTTTAATAATTGGGTACTAATGTAGTCAAATTATCTCTTCGTTATAATGTTTTGGCCAAGATTGTTATCTTCCTTCAGGATCAAGAAAGATCAGGGGAATTAATAATAAGTAGTTAATAATCACTTTGTCTTAGTAGTTGGATACAAATTTAGTAAAATAGTTTCTTCGTAGCATCATTTTGTGATGCCTTCTTCGCGAATTATAATTATAACGCAATTTAGTTGCAATTTAGTTCCATGACCGTGTCGCGTAAGCTGTACTGTTTTAATCTTATACTCACTACTTAGCTGAATGAATTCTTTAGCTTACCATTGCCGCTTCCTGCTTCCCGCTTCGTCATTGCCATTTTCCATCGTGTTTTTGTAGAAGATCGCACAACGCCGCGATGTAGGTCTGCGCCATTTGCAGCGTCTCGAATTTACTGAGCTTGTGATCAGCCCCGAGGCTTGGCACGACTTCTCGCAATTTGTCGAAGGCGTCGTTCAGTCCGTTCATACGACGCCTCTCGCGAGCGTTCGCGGCGAGACGCCGACGCTTCAGGACGCTCGGTGACGGTGGTATGTCTCTTGATCGTCGCCTACCTCTTCGAGGGCTGCTCGTGGGCGATACTTGTTTCTGAAAATCAATTAAAAAGCAAACGTCGAGTTATTTAACCCTGGAACGTCACGTTTCATCTTTAATACGTTAACCCATTCACTGCCAGACAAATTTAAACACTTTGGTCGGCAAATTTAATACAGACGTGTAATCTAGATTATTATTCTGATAATAGAAAGTCATATCGAGTTTGTTTTAAAAAGAAAATTTACGATCTTCTTTTGCAATAATTCGTGACCCAAAGGCCTATAAACTTATTCATTGAGTAATTGCCACGAGAATTTGAACTACGAGACATCTCGTAGTTGCCAATGAATGGGTGGTGATGTCGAATAAAAATGTAAAATAAAGTAAACAAAGTCCGGCATTTCGAAACGAATTATTGACGTGATATCGCAAAATTTGAGATCGTTTATCAGTTGTTTTCCATCTCCTTACTCACCTGAACGGACGTAACGGGTTCCCAGCAACTTTTTCGCGGCTCGATCATCTGCATCTGTTCGTTGCTCTCGAGGATATGAAATTTTTGTTCCTGAGGCGGAGTCTCGTAACAATAAGCTGGAGCAAGATACTCCACGGAACTGTCCTCGTGTAACATTGATCTGGGAGAAGTTGTGTGACTTATCACGTGTTGTGCTTCGTATCTAATTCAAACAAAATGATATCACGTGACTCGTCCAGAAAGTCCTGTTCGCGTACTCTCTGAGACCAAAATACAATGAAATGTTGCAATATTCTTGATTCTGACATAGCATATTAAAAAGAATCGCACAGATACCGCACACAAGACGAAGCAAAGCTATATTCATAATTGTGACGTATGGGAATGCAAAGCAATTGTCAGTAATTATAAAGTGATCGAAGATGCAGCAGAGTGATAAGCTTATAAAAATACTCTCACGTTTGGTAAAAATGGTTTAACACTGTACTATGGATGTTTATGCAAATTATTATTTTTATATACACAAATGAAGAACAGAAACTTGTGTTGAAGTTTGTTTTGTCTTCTAAATGTTATAATATACATTTTATTTTTTATATATTTATAGACAACAGTTCAGAGTTTCAGACAGATTCACAGACTTCTCCATATTTCCACTTTGCACAAGTGCATAAACATTCACAGTCTAATAAACGTCATCTATTTCCATATAATTATATAAAATTTCTATAGTTTTGTATCAAATATAAACACAGCCTGCGGGACGAATTTATAGGGTGACGTAATAGAAACGTATTCTTACCTTTGCGGCGTCACAGGTGTCAAAACACCAAAGGAGCTTCTGTCGTACGAATCGGGGGTTCTCGAATATTTAGTAACTACGTCGTTCCCGTAATTGATCGGCTCTGCGTCTTTTCGAGGAGTGTGCTCACCTTTGTGCGCATAACTTTCCCTGAACGGGATTTTCATGGAGTCATAATTCGGGGAGTTGTACGGCGAAGGGTACAAGGATTCGTAGGTCCTCGCTGTGCTCGGATACGTCGTCGCGATCATTTCAGAAGAAACTGGGTAATCGTGGTGATTGGAGAGAAGAGCCATCGTTCACTTCGATTTTCTTCGAGGATTATGCTTCATCCAATATATTATCAAATCTTGTGGTATAAAATTATTATAACTTATAGGACAACTTCTTGCTTGATTCTTCCAAAAATAAGATAAAGGTATCAATTTTCACTTCTGCTCCTCTTCTGTTCACTTCGATTTTCTTCGAAGACTACGCTTCATCAAATATCAAATCCTCAGGAGTGGTTCAAGTCTTATGGCATAAAATTATTGTAACTTACGGGACTTCTTGCTCGTTGTTTTTTCCAAAAATAAGATAAAGGTATCAATTTTCACTTCTGCTCCTCTGTTCACTTCGATGATTTTTTTTAAGATTATGGTTCATCAAATATCAGTTCCTGAGATATAATTCAAATTTAACGATACGAAGTTACTTCCGCTCCTTCTCTTCGTCCAAATCTTCACGCAACGTCCAACATAATTCACACGGTGATCATCCAACACAAAAAAAAAAAAAATAGCGCGACGCGCTCATCCGCGAATTGTTCAATTTATTCAAACCTTTTAACCGTTTTATCACTTATAAAGAAAAACACCAATCAACAGAATACGAGAACCGGGTCCATCGAGGCTTCCACTATCGATCACAGACCATCTGAACGCATGCAACACCAAGTATAAAATCGACGATTACAGTAACACAACATTCGTCACCGAAGACGCCCGCTTCTCTTCATAATTTCGCGGTGTCCTAGCGCAACCATGAAGGAAGACTCGTACGCAGATTCGTATGATCACGTCTCCGCGGAACGCACTGCACAGTCCCAGGATCGTGTCATTAGTTTCGTAAAGAATAACAATGGCAAAGAAGTCACCGATCCTCGCGGTGTAGCGGCTCGAGTTTGAGTGTGGCGCGTGCCATGCGTCCTTCATCGCATCAACATATGGTTCCCACTTCGTTTTATGTCCATTCTATAGGTGCACCTGGTGGCCCGTTCCGGGCTCCTTCTGTAGCTACCCTCTCCTCTTCTTCGTCGGTACCACTTTACCCTGCAGAAACGTGCCGCCGCTACCCGTCGCGGTCGCTTTTTCCTTCCTCCCTTCTTTGCTTCCTGGCAAGGGGCTTATCTGTTCGCGTACACAGAAGCTGAACACTTCCTCGAGGGAAGGTGTACCTGTTGATTTAGATAACGGCAGGAACGGGGAGGGGGTACCTGTTGATTTAAATTTCACGAGGGGAATCTAGGTTTCGCGTGGAAAAGGATTCACAGTGCGTTTGAAATTGTTTAGGGGTAGGAAATGGAATATCAAATTAGGAGGAGCATTGTTTACTATTTCAAGGTAAGGGTATGGATTGATTTAAATTTCACGCTGCAAGGAACATCTAGGTTTTTGGTAAGGAGAGATCGATAGTTGCGTTTGAAATTGTTTAGGAATAGTGGTAGGAAATGGAATATTAAATTTTGACTATAATGAATATAAATATTCACGCTGCAAGGAAGATCTAGGATTTGATAAATCGTTAGTTGCGTTTGAAGTACCTAATAATTTAAACTGCACATGACAAGTAGAATCTAAATTTATTGATGAAAGGATGACATTTGAATTAGAATTAATGAAGAAGTAATGCTAGCAAATGGAATATTCCGTTGGAATGAACATTGTTTACAATCCATAGGAATAGGATGACCTAAGTTTTAGATGAAAAAGGATTTTACAAGCATTAGAAATAACGAAGAAGGAATGATATAAAAGGAAATCCATGGAATACGAAGGAATAGGAATTTCGCTATGAAGTTTTTGGGAGCAGAGAGACTTGGAGGAATTTTTGACAGTTTTTCGACACGCGAAAATGTAAAGAACTCGAAAGGCTGATGCAACGGTGACGTTGCACTCCACGGTGAAAATTTATTTCCAATTACCGATTTTCCAGCCTTTGTCTCGTTTATCCGGAACACGCGGGCAGACTTTCGCTGCTTTGCCGGTTCACTTCGGTAGAACGACAGATGCTTTTATAATGGAAGCTACGGAAATATAATAACTGCATATAATATGTGTATCTTGCTCGTCGGACAAAAAGAGTGACGGAGGAAGCGAAAACAAAGAGAAAAATGTTATACTTACTAGGTAACAGCGACGGTCGATGACTTTAGGAACGTTAAATTCTTCTTGGATCACTATTGCACTGATAGCGTTTTGTTTTAGGAGATTGCTGGGTAAATGTTAACTACAAATTCAAACAACTAAATAACATAAAAACATACACGTTCATGGTTCGTATCTTCTTCTCGTTTCTTTTTATTGAAAATTTAAATATTAAATGTAGCTACAAGAAATAGAGACATACTTAATTAACTTGTACCTGTTTTCTCTGATCATAATAATATTATGCTATGGTATGTTTACGTTTAAAAGATTCCTTTTGATTGTGTTTGCCGTACAACAACTGACATAGTCTCTTCACCTTCTCTTCGCATATTTTTCTCGCCGCTAAAATAGGAATTCGCAGAGCGAACAAGTAAATAAACAAACTGGCCAGCGTTTAACGAAAGCGAAAACGGTGGAGGAAGAAAATTAGCAGAACGCCAACGGCCGTGCCACGGGTCGAATCGCCTTGAGACAATTAGAGATATCCATCTTGCAGCGGGATCTAGGCCCTCTGAGAAGGGGGCACGGCGCGTGCCCTGCGCCAACGAGCAACTGGGGCGCATGACGAAAGGAACTGCAAGGTGTTACCCCGCCGAGTGCAGAAGATTTCAGGATAAAGAACGCCGACTAAGGGGGACGGGGAGGGGAAACTGTCTCTGGGGCACTCAGACGTGAAAACACAGTCCTTCGGGGAACCCGTAGTCCGTTAACCCGGAAAAGTCGTAATTTCCTCGAGATATTCCTAATCAACGCAGACATCTGTATCAACTTCTTCGGCGACTCTAATTATTCATTGCAATCGAGCCAACAGAAATTGTGTTTGTCACTCGACCGATCCAACCAGAAAACTAGATCGAAGCTGAAATCATTAGTGGCTATTGAAGCATGAAGTTTATTAGAATTTTCTTGATCTTGTAATTTTCTCTTAGCTGATGATAAATATTTTTCTAAAAATGATACGACTGTGTATGTAATAATTGTATAGGTATATTGAAATTATATATGTAACATGAAACGTCCACTGCAATTATGTGCATTAGGTGCACACGACACTTACAATTAGGAGTAATAACGATAGCAAATGGAATATTCTGTTGGAACGAACATTGTTTACCATCCCTAGGAAATGGTATCTATTAATTTAAATTCTATACTGCGAGAATAGGATGATCCAAGTTTCAGATGAAAAATGATTTTACAAGCATTAGAAATAATGAAGAAGAATTTCTTATTCTTCGAATGAGAGTTATTAAATGAAAAACTGCACTTAATGAACGAAAGGTACGAATTCGGTGTTCCACGTTCACCGAATCGCGTCATGCGCCTCTGCCACACCATATGGTTCCCGGGAGTTCGATTCCTTTTCACGAGAAATAGATTGTGGACACCGAAACCAGGAACACCGATCTATCACACACGGGGCACGTGCCCCACATCCCACCTGGGACTAATTGATTTTTCGTTCGCGTACCTATCGAAGAAGTCATTCGAAAGTCGATAATAACTTGTTAACGCTCGTCACACTGGTTGACGTTATTCATCAGGAACCACTTTTAACCTCTCTTCCCCGAACGCTAAAATGAATTTCAACGTAGGCTCGCGCGTGACGAAAGATTCCCTGGTTATTAATTGCGTTTGTCTCCATTTGTAACGATCAAATTTATTTGTCAGTTTTCGAAACGATCGATGGAGATGAGAGGGAGGGCTAGGTAATACATCAGCGAAGCAATTATAATTGTCAATCGGATTTACAGATTTCACGTGTTTTTAAAACAAGAACTCCGAAGATAAAAGATGAAAATGGCGATCGAATTTTTAACCGACTTCGAAAAGGAGGAGGTTACTCGACTCGACATGTTGTCTTTTTTTTTTTCTTTTTTTTTTAAATATATGTTACTCGATTACGCCGAGATGGCTTGATGGCTCACACTTTCTAGTGAGAATCTTGATATGCTAGAGTTAAAAAAATATACAAATAGAATAGAATTCAATAGAATAGAATAGAATAGAATTCAATAGATAGAATTTATGAGAATAACTCTATTTTTATTTCAAGTAGATTAATGTTCATTCGATTTTATAATGCGTGCCATTTATATCGTCACGTTTCCTTCGTTCATCGCATGTCGCCCTTCATCGACAGATATTAATTGTTGTAATTAATGATTGATAATCATTGAAAGGAACACAGAACCATGCAGTAAGAAAATGATGTTCGTAGGACCTTAACAAATATCGCGGAGCATAGAAATTATTTAGGTGGAATAACTTAATCACTAATGAATATTGCTGATATTATGAAAAAACAAAGCAAACCTTACCGACGTGAAGTTTTCTAAATTTAAGGTGTACAGTTTGCCAGCTGTTACTTTAATAGGTGTTACACTTTTTGCCAACATTACGTGCAGTAGTTTTCTGGAATTGATAGACGACTGGTACCATTTGCCGCTTGTCCTAAAAACACGCAATTCCCTATTAATCTTTGAGCTCCCGGCACTGTGATTTAACAAAATCTGAAGGTATCGAAAAAGAATATAAACAAATGTTTGATACGATTTTATTTTCAACGTGTTGGCTCTTTTGTGTTTTACGATTGCAGGTTTACAAAATGGCCAACTATTAACAATGAAATGAGGCTAAGTGAGGCTAGTATTCTCTTATTTATTTTTAAAAATTATTTTCTATTTTTCTATTCTATTTTACAAAATTACACGCGATAGAAATTCTTACGTATATTCAAAGATGCGATCAGTGGAGTCCATTAATTGTTGCCCTCGCCAACTATCGAGCAAAAGGATACTTAACAAGCACATCGTAAACGAAGCATACCTGAGAGATTTATTTGGTGTGTCCAAATTCACTGCCGCCTAATTATGAAAGAAATACATAATTATAAATTCGATAAATTATGGATTTTTCAAATGGGGATTTAGGAAGTTTTTTTTTCTAATAAAACGCAAGTAGAATATGCACACGTTCTTTATTTTAAATGAAAGGATACATAATTAACACATTGAACGCCATGTCACCCATACATGGGTGGCAGTTATCTTCACTGGAGAACTACAAAAATTAATTTCGAAAGGTAAGTGTCAAAGAAAATGTATTCGAATGAAATACTTGAATCTCAGTGAAATTACAAAAATGAATACTGTAATAAATGTTTGGTTACGTAGTTTCCAATAGTCTGTAAAGAAAATTTAATCGTAGTAGGAATTTTTAAGAGAATCAGTCTGGCAGTCAACGTGTTAATTAATTATTTAAGATTATTTAATTATTAATTTTTTATTATTTTACCATGACTACGCTGACAGAAATATTTTGTTATTGATAAATAAAATCCCAAAGCCTCTTTTGGAAAATCCTTTGTTGGAACGTTGGTAAAATATAAGAATTTTTTTATTTAAATGAAACCAACCTGGAATTGAGTGAAGCTCACACCGACCAAATTGAATCCTAATTGGAAGAAGAGGGACACCGTATTTGCATCTTCAATAGATCTACCAAATCTTCGATGCGGCAGAGAACAGATAGAGAATGTCGATGATTTTATTTGAACCAAAACAACTTCTAAATAATTCACGATAATATTGATAAAGAAACAGAGAACAAAGTTTTAAAGAATCAACACTTACTGGATTATGTGTTTGTGCAGCATTGAGCAGGTTCTGACATTCTGGTACGGTGTGTCTTCGCGCTTGTCAGGATACAACTCTATATCTCTTATGCCTTTATCTTCCACGATTTTTCGTAGTCGATCCCTAAACAAGTGCAAATCACCATTCGCATTAGATACCGATTTCGAAAGTTTATAGAAATTATCGTAGAATGTTGTATCCTTTGTTCTATATGTTATTGAATATATGTATTTGTCTAGAATAGCATAATTATGTTAAAAATATAAGTCACTCTTGCTATAAAAAAACTATTTATATTACGTCAGATTAAAATATATTTTTAGAGTCTCATACAGGAATGATTTTAATATTGCATACTTTTTAAATGTTTAGAAATAAATTCATACATAAAAAATTATTAAATATCACGTCACGTTTCAATCTTTACTGTATCGCAGTATATAATATTTTCATTATAATTATAGTATTTTCAAAATTTCATCCAGAAAATTAATGGTAGCTGATCGTTACACGAGCGCCTCCCCTCGAATCACACATAATATAATTAGCTGACACTGGACAAACTAATTAGCATGCATCACAAGAAATAGTCGACAGATAGAGACCCTTCACTACTCACATGTACGTCAGCAAATATACATACTTCCACACGGGAATGCGTACAAAAGGCAAAACGCAGGCGCAAAAGCTTTCTCAGTGATTCCTGAAAACGGCACACCACATCTATCGGTATTCGCGACCGGCGACTGCGTCATTACCCCAGAATCTCGCATAGTCCGCACTCGTGTTGCACGTAAAGTACTATCATCGAATCGCATGCGACGACGATCATGATGAACGCCACGGTGCCAAAGTACGAGTGTATCAGCACGGGATAGTAATACGTCTCCGCATCCACGAAATATTCGACGCGAAACATTAGGGGCCGTTCGCCGGATAGATTGTAGAATCCCAATGCGTCGGCTACGTTCAACAGCGATGGTACCATCATGAAGGGTGTCATTGATCCGAATAGAGAGGCTGTTGTTAATAAATTAGAAAATCAAATGGTGGTTTCTGTTAGGATGTGAACACAGTGGAAGCAAAGAAAGAACACAATGGAAGAAAAAGACGGTTGAGGTTCAAAAAATGGGGTACCCTCGAAACAAGTGCTGATTTTTTTTATTATAGGTAGTCTTTGAGTTGAGGATTACAATGGTGGCCATCTTGACCCTTAACTTACCCCCTCCCTCAGGGGTCAAAAACTGAAATGGTTCAAAAAGTGGTTTTTTGCACCGATCTCGATGAGTACGTCATTTCCATTTTTTTTTTGTACGTGAAAGAATATCATAGCACCAGATTCGATATCTACTGTCTGAGTAGGTTTGGGATAAATTTTTGGCTGGGTCGGCAATATCGAATATTGTTAATCTACATACTATCTACGCGGAAATACTGTTTGAATAGGTTTGGGGTAGTTTTTGGCAGAAGCGTCAATATTGAATACCGTTAATGTACGTACTATCTACGCAGAAATACTGTCTGAGTAGGTTTGGAGTAGATTTGGAGTAGTTTTTATTGGGGGCAGTAATATTCAATACTGTTAATATGCATACTGTTTACAACGGAAATACTGTCTGAGTACATATAACCTTATTATACATGGAGCCTTAAGGGAGCGGACTCCCGTGCCTTGTATGCGCTCGTATGCACTCACACAGCTCTACATCACTGTATACGTACACGGAACTGCAAGGGCTTGCGTATTGTCCTATTTTTGTCTCGACAATGCAAATTCGAGACCTCTCAATAGTCGTTTCCGCTAGATAAATGTTCTCAAATGTTCTCAAACTTGTGCGCAAACTCCTATGGGTAGTTTACTTTTGCCTTTTTGTGTCATACTTAATAATATTCAGCAGTATTTCGCGATCAAAAGAAGCAATATGGTGATGCGACAGTGCTGCCGCGTTGTCTGAGCTAACATACGCTGCTGAATATTGTTAATTATGACACAAAAAAGCACATACAAGGCACGGGAGTCCACTCCTTTAATGTTACTTACTAAATCATGATAAATAAAACTCCCGCAAATGAGTGACTCATGTTATCAAATGTTTCAAACTCGATGTACCATAAAGCTTGCAACGAGTATTTTAAATGACTATATCAAAATTGTGTAACAATAAATAATATTTGTATACAAGAGAATAGCTCACCTGCATAATTGAAAGTAATTCTCTTTCCTACTGCATAATGTCGTTCGAGAATGTCGAGCTCGTTGCTTGCTACCGAATATATCCTCCAATCGTCTCGCATTATGTTCAAAAGATTCCTCATCTGTATTTACAGTTCAAGTTCGATGACAACTATACTGGATCAAAGATGCGAGTGCAACATACCTGTTTGCCGTTGAAAATGAAATTGACAAATTTGGCAATACACATCCAGCTTATGATGAAAGGAGCAAAACCCTCCATGAACACGTCGATGTCGCCTACGTTCAACCCACCAAACATCCCTCCACCCTGAAAACCCACCGACGCCTCAGTCTCAACGGAACTGAATTTTCCACGAAAAGGAAAATGTACAATTGGTCATAAAAAGAATTCACACTAGTACAAAAGGTACTGTCACTTCGTATTATTTTATCCAACACAAAACTTGTTAAATATGATTCATAACAATGTTCATTTTAACGTTAACGTCATTTTAAATTCTATTCCTAGTTTCTATTTCAAATAACGAAAGTCTTCTTATTTTATACCCTACATATTTACAACATCGATATTTCAAAACATATTTTAATACAATTATATAATTATTTTGATACAAATCTGCGATGTCCAGCTTTCAGAATTTCATTATTTTCGTCAGTTCTCGGCATTAGAAACGTAAAACATCCTCCGGTTGCGAATGCGTTAATTTCTGAAAGTTTTATTACCTGAAGGATCGTCTGAATAGCGATGGTCGGAATGAAAAGCACGCCAACTAAAATCTTTTCCAACATAGTCTGATAAGGCCACTGACCGATGAAGTATAAAAAAAACTTATTGACTCGCAAATACTTGTACTGACTACTCTCCATTCCATCCATTTCGATGATTCTTCGGTTGACTCTTGGCGACTACTGCTCTTAGAATATTTCCTATAAAATGTCGACAGCGGTCATGCGCGGCCCGTAATTGCCGAGTCGTTAGGCATTCCGTTTGCTAGCCGGACTAGATGGATAATTGCACAAATTTGATTCGTCGAGTCATTCGCGCACGCAGAAGGGTGAAAATCTAAACGTATATCTCTACCCGTTTCTCCAGAAATTTTTGTATCGCTGTGATAGTTCGCAGTCCCTCGGAAAATGAAAGGATCGTAGGTAACGTTACGGTTGGAAATCGCGTCAAAAGAATTCTTGAGACATCACGCGTCATTTGTGCATAGCGAATGAAACCCTGGGGACTTGGACTGTATCGAAGCGTGGGATATATACAGTATGGGAAGCGCAGAGGGACTGTGATGTTGTCAGAGATTACGAGTGTTCGTGTTCGTTAGTTTCTTCGAGTTGTGAGAAATTAAGAAAATATATGATACCCACAGTTCCGAGTGCTGGTCGACGAACAATTCTTGAGGTAAACGCCACTTTGAATGATAATTGAAAATTTAATAATTGAAACTTTATATAGTTTTATTTTATATAGTATAGTCACACTTTATATGAAATAAATACAAGAACATAAAACCAATACAAATTGTTCTGTTTTTATTCGATGTAAGTACATGTTCATTTGGCGTTCTACTGTAATCCATTCATACCAATTTGTGTTCGTTTCGTTCTTCTCACATCGTTTCTTGATTAGAAACATCAATATTCGTCATCAGTTACTTGAAATTCATTGAAAGGAGCACAGAACCATGCAGAACGAAAATGATGTTCTTACGATCTAAAATTAATTTAAAACATAATAACCATTCGGATTATACAAATAAATATATTTTTGTATTAATATTGCTTATAGAGTGTATTCGCTTGATTCGAATATTCATTTGTAATAGAAATTCAAAATTAAATAATTTGTTGAAAATGTAGCAGTCTAATTGTAAGTTTGTATCACTTTAATTCTCTCTATTTTTAATTTGTATTCATTACACGATACCTTTATCTATTCTTCTAAATCAAAATAATTCTTAACAAATATATTTAATATTCGACTAATTAAACCACAATGCATTGTTAGCACGAACAAATGTCGATATTTACTGTATGTATGAAGTAGAATATTACAAAGTAGATCTTACCGACGTGAAATTCGCTAAATGTAAAGTGTAAATTTTGCCAGCTGTTATTTTAATAGGCTGTACACTTCTGGACAGCATAATACTTATGAGTTTCCTGCAATCCGTAGATGACTGATACCATTTGCCACTGGTCCTGAAAACACAAATTCTAATTTTAACAATCAACAACTGATGCTGCAATCGATGGTAAACATCATTTCTGTCAGGATACGTTACAACTTTCTATCTTGGTGTAATTTATATTTTCAAATGACAGAAAACCATGCGATTCATTTTCTACGAATTTCTGAATCATACGCGATGAAAATTCTTACGTGTAATCGAATATGCGATCGGTGGAGTCCAAAATTCGTTGACCTCGCCAGTTATCGAGCAAAAGGATACTTAACAGGCACGACGTGAACGATGCAAATCGGAGAGATTTGTTCGGAGTGTCCAGATTCGCTATTGCCTAGTTGCAAAACGAATACATAGTTAATTAGTTTATTTATAAGGTGCTTGGCTTACGTCAATTTGCTGTTACACTTGATACTTTATAAAATTGTCACTAGATTAACTTTTTATTTGTAAAATGTTAAAAAAATATTCTTTTTTTTTTATTAAGAAAATATTGTATTTATAGAATACATATAATTGTATAAATACTGTATTTATAGAGTGCTTGGCTCACATCACTTTACCAACCTGAAATTGAGTGAAGCTTACACCCATCAAATTGAATCCTAATTGGAAGAAAAAGGACGCTGTGTTCGCATCCTCGATTGTTTTAGCAAATCTTGAATGTTCAATAAACAGATGTAAAAGATGATTGTTTAGGTAATGCAAAACAATTTAAGGATATATTAAGAAAACCATAAATAGAGATATATAGAAAAGTATATGAAGAATTCGCTACTAACTCAATTATATGTTTATGTAGTATTATGCAGGTTCTGAGATTTTGATACGCTCTGTCTTTGCGTTCGTCAGAATGCAACTCTATGTTTCTATCGTCAGACTCCGCGAATTTTTGCAGTTTTTCTCTAAAAAAAAAAATCTGTGAATCAGTACTTTAATTGTACATCGATTTTGAAATTTTAAACATATAAATATAAAACATTCTACAAGCTTTAGTATAGCTGTAACGTAATTTGTTGAACAATTCGATTTTAATAAATGCAACGTACATTTTAATTTCATCTAATTACCCTAAAATCTCACAAAGCCCGCACTCGTGCTGAACGTAAAGTACTGTCATCGAATCGCAGGCCACTGCTATCATGATGAACGCCGCGGAGCCAAAATACGAGTGTATCAACAAGGGACAGTAGTATTTATCGGTATCCACAAAATGCTCGACTCGAAACATCAGTGGCCGTCCGTCAGTCAGATTATAGTATCCTAAGGCGTTGGCTGCATTCTGTAGCGACGGCATCATCATGAAGGGTGTCATTGATCCGTATAGAAAAACTGTTGTTAATACGGTATAAATCAAATGACTGTTTCACGAATTTTTCTCGATTTTTCAAAGTAGTGACTCTAACGGTAATTGAATCGGTTGTTTTAAAAACGACGCGTAAGATACTTTCAATGATAATGATGGAAAATGATAAGCATTACTGTTTCCCTGCAATTTACAGTATAAGAATACGTACGGACATCTATGAACAGAGTTAGGTGAATTTTAATTCGGGGTAAAGAATCAAAATTCCAGATATATTCTGAAGAATATAAACAATGTCATTTTGTGGTTTGACCATTTTGTTGTATTTCAAATCACTTACTCTTATCATTCTAACAGTTTCTATAATTTTATGTAACATTTCACAACGACTTCCTTTTTTATTTTATCGTGAAATTAAATATTGTGAAATTAATATTTATAATAATATTTGTACACTGTCCAGAAGTTCGTGTTATTATTAGTTTCATGATAATAAACACTTGTAATTAGTAATCGAGAAATACTGAAGCACGTAACGTCAGAATATCAAAACAAACGTATGTATGTGTTGTTATAGAAAGTAAAGCAACCTCACCTGCATAGTTAAAGGTAATCCTCTTTCCTGTTTCATAATGTCGGGAGAGAATTTTGAAATCACTAGTCGATTCCGAATACGTCTTCCAATCGTCTCGCATCATGTTCAGAAGATTTCTCATCTGTATTTTTTAATTCAAGTACATTCAACGCGATTGTTCGATATTAAATGAATACTCTTTTATTTTGAGTCAAGAATTATATTTAGAAGACGTGGAAGACGTACCTGATACCCGTTAAAAATAAAATTTATGTATTTAGCAGTGCACATACTGCTGATTACGACGGGGGCAAAACTCTCCATAAACGAATCAAAGTCACCTGCAAGAAAAGCTGCCACCATTCCTCCACTCTGAAAATTTACACGTCGCGCAACATTAATCATAAAGACTTACTATGCATTACTATGCAATGCATTTTTCTATAATTTTATTGTGTTACAACGATCATTTACATGCGCGTCACAAAGTTGTAATACCTGAAGAACCAGCAATGTACAAGCGATTGGTAGAAAAATTAAACCGACGAAAACCTTATCCCGCACAGACTGATAAGGCCACTGGCCAATGGTGAACAAAAAGTACTTATTGATTCGCAAATAGCCATACTGTCTCCTCTCCATGCCATCCATTTTAAAGCTTCTACGGTTGCTTCTGTTCGACGACTAATCTTACAATTTTTTCATACAGAACGCCGACGTGCCTCGCGAGCGTGGGAGCATGATTGCTGGGTCGTTACACATTCCGTTTAGGATAATTGCAGAAAGTAAAATCGTTGAATCATTCACACGAGCTATTACGAAGAGTATGGACACATGAGAAAGTCGCATAGGAGAGTCAGTATAATTTTGAAATCGAATTAGCTCCGTGTCCCTCGTAAAATCTGACGCTAAGTAAAACGTAACTTCGCTACCACAGTGTCCATTAAAAATGGACGAGGTTGGATTACAGTTGTAATATTGAATTCTATTACAAGAAAATTGTTTCGCAAATATTGGAAGTGCGACAGTGGTATGTTAAATTTGTTGTATTGGCAATAAAATGTGACAACACACACATGTGCTGCATACAGTGTAATGTAATATACAGTGCAAGACTACCTTCCCACTATCCCATCTCTAGAGGCTTGATTCTTCTAACATATCCTAACACATAAAAACTCCTGACACCTCCTGATGCCTCCTAACAGCTGCGAACACACATCCTGACTGATTTTATTTTAAATCATGGTACGTATCAAATTCTGGCCGATTTTACATTTTGGTGTCAGAAGCACATGCTATGAGGTGGAGGTGGTACGAGAAATACCAGGTACGTATCAAAATTCTGAGGAAATATTACAGTTTGGTATCAGGAGCACATGGTATGCGAAGAGATGGCACGAGGAATACCAGGTAAGTATCGAAATTCAGGCTAAATTTTACTCCTGGTATCAGGAGAACATGATGTGCGAAGAGGTGGCACGGTTGCGCCTACGGACAGGCAACCGGTCCGACATATCTGTA